GTATCCGACTGTTATTGCTGGAATATTGAGAAATGCGAAAATCTCGGGACGTGATGTATTGCAAGCTGACAGATTCGACTAAAATTTCATACTTATTTGTTGTATACATACCTATATGTTAGCTCTAAAAACTAAAACCCTGTAAACACAGTACAGAACTGTATGAAAGCATAACTAACAGATGCCAAAAACGGTTTCCATTTGGTTTTAACTTCTTAAAAATTAAATTTATAAAAAGAACGTTTTTTTCAAATTTGTTTTTGTATTGAATATTTTTTAGTTTATATTGTAATATTTCTTAGTTCTAAGTATTAAATCTTAATTGTATTTAAAACTAGGCAAACTCAAGATTGTGGTTGAGCTTATGTTATGGTAGGTCTCTTCTTTTTAAGCAGGTTTGATGACAGGATTGTAACAAGGCATTAGCGAATAACCAAATACAAATACCATGCTGAACTTGTTATTGCGCTAATAATGTTTGACTGGAACCTCTATATTATGTCAATGTTGGTTACATAGGTCGTACCCCACAGTTGAAAACCTTATACCCAAATCAACTTTATGACCGAACTCAAATGAACTTTATTAACTTTTCCTTCCATTGCCGACTTGAAGCCGTTCCAGAGAGAAAATAAGTGTGAAGGTACGAACATAGACGGGATGGATATTCTTCTGCTGTTATACGCCGATGATTTGGTTTTGCTGGCCTCGTCATCTGTAGACCTTCAAAGGAAAATTGAACTTCTTAGACAGTATTGTGACAAAAATCAGGTACCGGTAACACGCACTTTTTGTTCGGTGGCAAGGAACTGGAAATCGCTAATGGCTAGGTCTTAAAATCTCCTCGGCAGGATTCAGTCGGACGACAGCTGACACGGCATTACAAAAAGCAAAAATGGCAATTAATGCTGCTCAATCCACTCTTATAAGGTGAAAAACTGATTCATTCGCTATGTATGCACTATTGCAGCCATTTAATTTATGCTGCTCCAATCTGGACATTGAAATACTTAAAGCTGATAGAGCTAGTCCAGACTGACTTTTTTAGGAGGATATTTGGACTATCAAGGAACACAGAAGGTGCTCTAATCAGGATTGAGCTCAGTAAATTACCTCTCGCACTGCAAATGGTTAAGGCAACTTGGCAGTGGATTATAAATATCCTAGAAATGGAAAATAGTCGCTATCCGTTAATTGCGAAATTAATTGAATAGACTAAAGATACTAAATAACAATACAAGCTCAAAACATAACTGGCTAACTACCGTATTTATGCTCATCAAGCTGATCGCCCCAGAACTCATAACAACACTGGAAAGTCTCGACCCGACAAGTTGGAGAGCCTTTATGAAATATAAAGATTATTTACTGCAACAAGACCTGGATAGAGCTTCAAACGCTCATTATCTGCAACTAAGAGTCCAAAGACCTCTGGATGGATCAAGATCTAAGTTTCTGACTAGAAAAATTCATTTTCAAGCGCTTAAGGTATTTCTTCAAGCCAGACTTGCTGGTAACCATTATAATCATCTAGTCCTGGACCAGATGTGCTATAAATTTAAACCAAGACAACAGTGTCCAGTGTGGATCGGAAGATTTGATACACCTCATCAATGACTGGCGCTCTACAATTTTTTCTACCTAAAGGACAATAATTCCTCGGTCCTCAAAGCTACAGAACTATTAAATAGACCTGATATTCATTCAAATTAATACTTTTTTTTTTTTATACGATACTGCTGCCGGCTCAGAGCCGTTTGCCTGTGCGAATAATTGTATATTAGATTTTACTGTCTCACTATTTATTATTTATTTTAAATTTTAAAATTAAAATTGTTTTTTACTTTTTCGGACCTATTGTACAAATAATGTTATATATTCTATAACAATAAATCAATTATTATTATTATTATATTGTGTGCATACAGTACAAGAATAACGATTACCTCGTAAGTATTGGAAATGAAAAAAGTTACTCAGCCTCACTTATTTCATCCCAGGTTCTTCCCCTTGAGGTTTGTCCTATTATATTAATACTCGTAAAGTAAAGGTTTTTTTAAGCAATTATTCACAAATGAAGATCTTCGAGTTTAGTAACTATCGACTTTTCTTCAAATTTTTTTAACGTTTTACTCTAAAATTCAAAATTTCTGATAATCTTTGTTATAACTAAACATATTTAGATCAATTTATTGGTAATTATTCACTCAACGAAATTCCATTAATTGCCCTATTAGGAGTCTGTTTTGAAGGATTTGATAAATGATTTGAAGTTGGAGAAAAAAGTCCAACCATATGAATTCACATAACTTGGAATTTTTTTTGATGTTCTTTAAAAATGGGATCAAATTAAGATCGTACAAAAACTCGTTGTCGCTGCTCATTCTCTACATTAGTAATTATGTTACGTACACGTAATTGTTTAAACCTAAATAATGCGACAAAGGGCAGCTAGTATATATACATATATGCTTCAGTGTAAGTCTTAGAACAACGCCAAATCAGGTACTATATGTTATTTTATATTTACTAGATCTGTTCTGTAAGCAACTGGCTGCGAATCAGCTCTTAGACTGAAGAAATCCTCTCTATTAGCCGTCTGTAATAAGGGGCATACAGATTTTCAAAATCTTTTAGAATTAAAGTTAAATTCGGTCCCCAATATTGCCTTCCCTTCCAGAGAAGAGAGGGATAGGGGTGAGGTGGACAGGGATAAGTATCTATACGGATAAGGACTAAACTTAATAATCGTGTGGGATCTGGTGTCTTTTCAGAAAAATTAGATGCTAAAATCGACTATCAGATATCTTCCAAGCGGAGATCACAGCTCTTAACGAAAGCCTTGCTGTTCTTATAAGTAGGGTGTTTAAAACAAAAAATATATGTATATTCCCAAATAGTCAAACAGCTTTAAAATCACTAAAGTCCTTTAAGGTATCATCGAAGTTAGTGAAAGAATGTCTGGTTCTATTAGTGAATCTAACATTCTATTTCACGATAAACCAGTAATGGGCTCCAAGACACAGTAATATTCTTGCTAACTGTAAAGCAGATGAGCTAGCCAGAACAAGCACCAGCCTACAATCAGATTCCGATGTTATTATACTATTGAAATTCAAAAGGATTGACGTAAAAAGAAGAAGAAGCTGTGGAACATTTTTTATGCGAATGCACGGCTTTCTATAGAAAAAGTATCCCAACTATCGGTCGCGGGTTTCTTGGTTATGTCTCGGAAGTTGCACACATATAACTTTTTGCATTGATGGACTTCATCAAGAGCACGGGGTGGATCAGAGAGGATATAATATAATTAGGGGATTTTAATGCCAATGGTTTCGCAATGGGTCTGAAAAGGTCAACGTGCGCCATCAGACATCCATCCCACCTACCTACCTAAGTCACATTTACCGACGTTATATCCTATAACATAAAATGCGCGAGAATATTCTTCCTCTTCTTCACAGTCTGAAGCAGCGCACACATCAATGTTTAAGCCTCCGGACAGTTTCGACTACGTGTCTTCCTTTAACAGAACAAATAAGATGTGTGCCAAAAAAATTTTTAACTGTGATCTTAATTAAACGGTCCAATTAGAGACCCATATTGTAGCATCCGAGATTTATATTGTTTTTATTTATAGTAAAAAAATTAAAGTTCCGAGCATATTCCTGGCGTACGGATTCGTTTTCCTTTAGAAATCTTGTTATATATTATTATATATATTGTAAATAGTTATAATATCCAAATATGTATAGTAGTACTATAAGTATATGTACATATATGTCATTATGTTAAGATAGTTTAAGTCGGCATACAAAAAATCGGACAAGCCTTTTATTGGTTTATTGTGGTAATTGAAAAATTGCGATTCTAAGGCATAGTACAAGGGTAAACTAGCATTAATTTGTAAAAATATTTTTAATAGTTCTCATTTAGTTAGACCAAGTAAGCCACCTCGACATAATGCTGCTGGTGTTTAGTTTCAACAGAAGCTCGAACAACATTTGTGGCAAAATATAATATAATATGTATGTAGAAACAAAATTATTCGTTGCAGGAAAACCATAACGCCAAGCATCCCAAATATAAACCTACATACACAAATATAGATCAACAATAGGCAATGCCAAGCAGTTAATTGAATTAAAGCTCAGCATCTTGTCGGCCACACACATTTGGCTCAGCTTACAGCTGCTTTATGAGCACGAATATCGCTGTAATCTTGCTTATTTTACTGCGCTTAATTCGCTTACCTATTGTTATTGTTAGTGTTTGGCTTGTTATTGTGTTGACTTCAATGCGCTGTAGGTAGCGCAGATTGTGTGCTGCAAAATGGTTAATGTCACAATTGCGCAATAATGAGTGACTTTAGCGGAGAACTCAAGCCACGCTATTGTTGTTGTTACTGTTGCGGTTGTTTGTTGTTTGGAGCTTTTTCTTACAAAGACTCAAAAATATGAGTTTTTACAGAAAAAATATGTGTGATATGTATCCATGTATGTGCATGAATATATACTGCAATAACAATTCAGTGAAGAAGTTGTGTGTTTTGTACTCGCATTTCGCTGGCGTTTTGAGATATTTGCGGACGGACGCTGCACACAGGCGGCCAAGAGCTTATAGCGCCGGCGTCGCGTGGCGCTCTGCGTAAGATACATATATACACCTTCAAGCCACCGCAACGTCTGCTCTGTTCGACTGCCTTCATCAGCGCTTCGGTTTTGTCTCCTCAATACAGTTGCTTGTGTGTATTTTCGCTTGACTTACCGCCGCCGTCGTTGGAGCTGTTGCTGGCGTTGGCGCTGTCACTGTCGCCGTTGCTGCCTGTGTGTTGCCAGCGCTTTACTATCAGTCAGCCGCTTAGTCACTCAGTTAATGGTCTCAGCCAAGTTTTTACTCATGCATTTCGTTTGTGTAGGCACATTGTTGTAATTGTTGTTGCTATTGCTTTTCCTTAACGTGCACTGTTTAGCGCCAACGACGGCTGCTTTACTTGGCTAGCAAGCGTTTTCAATTTCGTTCAGTTGCTTTTCGGTTCGTGAAGTGATCTGCCGCATACCAAAAAACGCGTCCGTTGCACATTTTCAAAAAGCCGTCTTGGAAAATTACAAACGTTTCAGGTTTCCTGTATTCCAACTGCGTTCAACTTAATTATTGGCGAATTAAACCAAAATTCGAAGCATACAAGTGAGTGGTCTTTGGAGTTGACTGAGCTTTTATACATATAAAGAAACTTATGTATATGTATGTAACAATTTATAAACAAATTTTGAATTGAACTTGTATTTGGTGCGGATTATGTTAAAAATATCAAAATAAAATACATCAAAAGGAAAATGAAAGTGATCAATAATATGGACTCTGAAAGGATACTAAATCAGGACAACAGAAAGTGCAAAACAATTGAATCATATTTAATTTTAGTAAAAAAAAATTCATGAAATTTAATTGTTGCTTACAATTTCTTGCATAAAATTCGAGTTTATTCATTTTTTTGTCCGAAAAGTGTGTATTATTGTTGTTGTTGTTTCTAATGTAAACAATTTACTAAATTCCAATTTTAATTATTTTTTTTTACCGACAAAGAAAAGGCCTAGAATTATAAAGAAAGTTTTACCTAATATAAGTCGTACCTATAATTATGACAGCGTCTTATAAAGACCAGGGTTCCTGAGGTGAACCATCATCAATCGGCAATTTCCTCAGATAAACATGTAATTCGTCCATCCTTTACTTGAATCCATTACTTTGCTTTGAATCGCCCATTCTTGTATAATGACATAGCCTTCTTATTAGTTGCATTTTAATGAATCGGACCACGTTTTCGCCTTGAGTTAACATAGCTGCTCAAGTTCGTCATTCATCGCCTCCAATTCTGATTGCGAAAAAATTTTTACTTAGAATTTTTCTATCGAAAGTCAGCAATTTGGTTTTATAATTTCTTGCTCAAGTTTCAAGTTTCAGCTCAATAGCTCGAGACTGGTCGTACTACGGTCGCACACAGTGCCAGTTTGTTGATCTGTTTTGATTTACCCATTGGAAAACCACTAGGTAGATAACATGAAAGCTCCTACAACAATTAGTAGAAAAAGCTCGACAGAATTGAAAAATTCAAAGTAAAATTCTATGCTATCATAGTGGACCAGCATTTTTTACGACCTGACTGACAGACAATTCGGCAAAATATTTTCCTAAACTAAATGGGGTTTAATTAGATCGCTACAACAACAACAGTATTGATGAAAAGACAACTATTTCATTTTCAAATCTTAGTAATATACTTAAATTGAAGTTCGGACTTACTACTATTAAAGAAGATGACACAATGATAAAAAGGAGGGCGAAAGTAACTTCATACACTCTAAATAATATAGTCCCAAGAGATACTTGATTTAACTTCATGTTACAAGTACTATGCTCTTCATAATAGGGTGGTTTCAGGTGCTTTGGTTTTTCAATCGAAACAGCAAGACCATGCAAATGGATTGAGTAAAAAAGAAAGTTAGTATAATATTTAAATAGTTGGGAAGTATATGATTATGCGGGCTACTTCATTTATCGATCATGAGCACCTCAGTATTTCGAATTATACTTTAAAACGCTAAATTTGTATATTCTTCCAAGACACTCAGTTTCGACCACAAAGTTTGTATAGCTTTTAATCTGCTGAATAGTAGTAGAAACATTTTTCGAAAATTCAGGAATCTTAAATTATATTCATTATTAGTAAACGAGGCTACTCATTTATTCAAGATTGGTGATAAGTTATATAATGATCATGAGATGATAGGTCAAACTGTAAAACTGGAAAATCACTTTCCCCATTAAAATATTTTTTTGTACAATAACTTTTCGTCACACATACGACTTTACCGAACGCTTAAAAAGCTATGAAAATTATCAAGAAAAGAAATATACCTTAAAATTACAGAGTTTGAATATATTTATTGCATAATAAAGAACTTTGTTATTGATTCGAAACAAATGTCGGTAGAAGCATTTTGTATTATATATATAAAAATTTCTTAAACAATCACTTTAGGATAAGCCTCCGTCGTTACTTATTTTTCAAATCTTCAATAAATAACCCTTCAGTAAGGGATATGGGTCAAATGAATCACAATATTCGAAACCAACGTCTAGTTGGGTAATTGTTTTATTTTTAAAATTATCAATAAATAATAAATACATGTTTTATAAAAGAAATAACATCATATTATTTTTTCGCTTACTTCCTAGATTGTTGGATGCTTCGAAATCTTTCATTAAAATATAATTGAATTAGGAAAAACAAATGGTATAAGTACAAGTAGTGATACCAAAAGTAAAAAATGAAAGAAACTGAAATTCATATATCATGAATACTATGGACACTGTTGTTATTATTTGATTATCTTTTTTAAAGTTTTTCAAATCAAAAAGCTTAATTAGCGGATAGAAATTACAGCTGAGGATTTCTTATAACAATGAGCATTAGTTGTACAATAGTTGTAACGATCTTTCAAAGCTCTTGATTAAACCATTATTTATCGTTCAAAATTGATAGCTTAACATGATTTAAGAAAAATATTTCAGTATTTTATATTACTCTCCTCAGTGTTTAATATAGAGCATTGCCATAGCAAAGTGAGTTAATTAGGTGCTGAACACTCGATAAGTTTCAGTCAAGCCTAATTGTGACAACTATTTTCTGTAGCTTGTGTAAATGAATTAAGGGGCACACCTAGTGTGACAGCCTAAAAAAGCGATGTTTGGAATATAAAAAAAAAAAAAGAAAACACCTATATCAATTGTTTTAAAATTTTTAGTTATATACCCTTAATTATAGAACACAGTAAACAGGTTCTCCACTGCTATACCGGTCTGGTAGGAAATATAAATTCACTAAAAAATATTCACTAATACATTTTTTTTTCAAAAAGTTTTTTGTCGATTTTTGAAATTGATTTTTGTAAAGATAAAAAACTGAGCCATTGTATTGAGAACTATACACGTATACAGAGCATGCAGAAAAAATTTGATAGTGTTCGGTGACTCCTAGTAAGCACTTAAACAATTCAGAAAAACGCGTTTAAAAATAAACTAATGGAACTGATTGAACTGAGTGGCTACACTTTAGAAGGCTTTTACTCAAAAACTATTTGAAACATCAATTTAAAATATTAGTAAGTTATGCTTGAAGGTATAACCTATCGAAACAAGAATAAACTCGATTTTTTTTAATTTCGCAGTAGGTTTGCCTCTTAAATATCTAACGGTAGTACCAATGGGACCGCCAAAAACCCACACTGACGATCGGTATTTGATTTTTAAGCTTTTTTCACGCAAAACAAACATTTAGGTATGTACTTGTATGTATGTAAAAAAAATGTTGCCATTTAATTAAGTAATAATGGCAACAATGCGATATATTAATTTGTATGACAACAGATTTCTTGCAAATTTAAATTAAAAAACAATAATTAATGCAAGTGCAAAAAAAACTGTCTAATCAGTTGAGAAAGTTTTGCTTCTTTTTTCACGTGCTTGTGCGCCACGGTGAACACTAATTGCAACAAACAGTTAAGTGAATGCCAATGAAGCTGCACAAAAACACACACAAATTGAAAGGGTGCGAAAGTAACGCAATGCCACCAACACATGCCATAAATCTGACACTTTGCTGATGAACCTTGGTGGGGATAAGAAAAATAATAACAACAACAGCAATAATAACTACAATAATACCAATAACAACAATTTAAAGCTAGCGCTCTCAAGTAGATGAGGCAGCAGAGTACAAAGGCAGAGGCAAAGCCAACGACAGCAACAACAACAACAACAACAATGCTATGCAAACTATGTAATTGTAGTTGAAGGTGACACCGCAGCTTGGCTAAGCTCAGTACCGAGAGAAAAAAATGCAAAACAACAACAACACAATGAGCAATGCAAGTAATGCGGCAGCGAGAAAAAGTATCGCTGAGATTTTCACTTTCATTTAGTTCAAGTGCCAGCAGCCTAATGCAGATGCTCCTGTTGTTGCTGGTGGTTACTTACTGCTTTTTGAGTTGGTTATTGTTTTTAATGCTGTTGTTTATTTACACAATTATTTTGTGTTTTTATTTATTTTTTGTTTTTTGGTTATTAAATTTTTTTTATATGTACTACATATATATATATATATTTTTTTTTTTGTAAAGACACACAACATTAATTAAGTAAAACAAAAAGCCGCGGGAGTTAAAGAAATCATTTCACTTAATTGAAAGTTTATTAAAAATGTGAATAGCAGAATTATTAGCACAATTATAGTGAGTACTAACAACAGGCATCTGCCAGAGCTGCGCGAATTTATGCGGGGAAACAGAAAAGCACAACAAAAGTGAAGGATTGCAAAAACAAAAAATGAACTTTAAACTAGTGCGAGTCATTAAAGTCACGTTGGATGAGGTGGCGTAGAAATTTTCGTGCAATTGAAATGAGAAAATTTATGTAGCAAAATTTATTTATTTCTACCATATTGTGGATTTGCTTAGGACTAGGCTTCCACTTTAGTGCTATATGGAGATTATTTTTCAAAAAGACAGACAACTTTTAGAGATTTCATTCTGAAAAAAAGATGGTCAAAAGAAAGAGACCTTGTCCAACGCTCATAACCTCTAAGTCAATAATAAATTATATTTCTATATTCTATACGTAACCGTAGCTTATCACAACAAAACAAATGTATGGTAATTAAGGACCAAATGTTTCTTTTCAAGCAACTCAACTCAAACCTATACAACTGCCATTGTATCATCCCAAATACCCAAATCTTTATTTAGTAGAAGGCTTTACCACAGGTGCTTAGGTAAATCTTTGGTATTAAAATTCGATAAGAGTAGCTCAGGAAGGTATATAACCATACGCTTACGTCGAAGTAATTGCAAGAAGATCGGCAGTATTTTTGCGTACTGAGTATATTTCAAGGGACTACATCCCATTATCAACTAGTAGCTTCATATGTGAACAAGACCATTCTCAGCCTAAATAACATAAACCCTGAGAAGTTCCATGTGATGTTTTTGGATTACCCTTCTTCATAATCAAATCCTAATTAAACAATTCTTCCTCTTCTTCTTTTGCACTATAAGTGGGTCGGTTTGGGCCAAGAACACAAAACATCGCCAGTTGCCTCTATTTTTTGCGAGTTCACGCCAGTTGTA